TGACCAGCTAGTACCGTATGCGTGATAATGTTTGCACCATTAAGCAATGTCAAAATTTAAAAAAATCTCAAAAATTTCGTTTTCGAGTTTTTTTTTTATTTATACAAAGGGGGGATGTTTCTCAGAGTCTTAAACTATGTTAATCATCGATCGAGTTTCCACTTGCTGCAATTACGGCCTCCACACGCTTCCGGAATGCACGGCAGGTTCTAATAATGTAGTCTGGATCCATTTCTCTCCAGGTACGGGTCAATGTTTGTCTGACTTGCTGAACTCGGGTGGCGTTTAGAACAGGCCTTGGCCTTCATGACGCGCCATATTGAGTAATCCAGCGGATTAAGATCGGGCTGGATGGCGGCCACATATCCTTCGCAGCGATAACCCTTGGAACCCGAGCTGACCTCGGACGACCTGTGGCCACCTTCGCGGATAGTTGTCCTTTCATTTCTCGGTCTAAAACCCTTTTGACGGTCCACCGGGACACTCCCACGGCGAGTGAAATGTCTTTTTACGACTTTTTTTAAATCACGAATACGCTGCCACTTCGTCATGGTTCACCTGTCAAACTAAGTCAATCATTTTCTTTTATACACAGCCTACTACGGTATGAGCTATAGGTTACGTGCATGCAAAGAAAACGATGGTGCAAACATTAGCACGCATACGGTATATCAGCAAACACCATTTTGCCAAATCGCATATAAATGCAGAGAAAAATAAAGGCCTACTTCGATCAAATTTACGAAGCAGTACATTTTATGAATGTTCCAGATCGTCCGGTGGGGCATCTGGTGGCCACTTAAATGCAATTACTGGCTAATATAATCAAAAATCACAGTTTTACTACATTTTACTGCATTAGCATCAGAACAAATCAAGGTCTACTTTGATCAAATTTTTACAACAAATCAAGTTTACAGATTTTACGAATTCTCTGGCGGACCATCTGGTGACCACTGGGAGCCTATAATCAGCTTATATGTCAAAAGTCACAATTTTACTTCATTCCATATAGTTGCAGAAAAATCAAAGCCTACTTTGATCAAATTTGCGCACCAATAAATTTACGGATGTTCCGAATCTTTCGGCGGGTCATCTGATGATCACTTGGAGCCAATGACCAGCTGATAGATCAACAATCACCATTTTACTTCAATTCATATAGTTGCAGAGAATAATCAAGGCATATTTGATCAAAACTACATAATAATCAAGATTAAGGTTGATCCGGGCCGCCGGATGGCCTTCCGGTGGACACTTAGTATTTAGAACCAGGTTGTGGGTTGGTTTTGTTAAAATATTAATCAGCACTACCCGTGATGCCTGTTGCTGTGGATTTCTAGCATCACCTTGTTCTAGACGACTGGTACCTTTTCTCTTCCCGATGGTCTCTCGGAAACCCAACTTGGCCAATCTGTTACAATTTTTAGAAGACCATACGCACTGTGAAAATTTCAGTCAATTTGATGGTGAAACGAAAAAGTTATACTCATGCAAACATTGCTGTTCGTAAAAATAAAAAATAAACCGCACAAAGCGCGTTAGGCCCTCCCCAGAAGTAAGGCAGGTGGTGTTCATTTGAAACGCTAATAACTTTTCGGGGTTAACTCGGATTCACAACCGCTCTTGAGCAAAGATGTTTCCAATACTCTAAAGGATCTACATTTTGTACATGAAAAAAAAATGATCAACTACAGCGCCACCTAGAGCCGCGAATGTGAAAGTGGCTCGTTCCCCAATACATTTTGTAGATTTTCCATAAACAAACTTCAAGCCCTTTGAGCGAGAGGTTCCCGTGATCCAAATGACTTGAAATTTTGAAAGGGTTTTTCTGACCTCCCAAACTACCATTCCAGAGGGTAGCGTTTGAAATCCCAGGATTGACCTATTTTGAAATACTCTAGTGTGCAGTGATCGTAATTGAAAGTGTTTTTTCATTATATAAGTCTTTTTGTCAATCGAGTGGCAATCATTATGCATTATTACGAGCATTATTATCGATATAAATTTAAAAAGATGCCGTAGGTAACGTTTCTTTCATTTCAATTAGGTATGTGAAAAATCAAATAAATCGAAATAGTTATTTTTTCACCCATTAATGGGTGCTTGCCAGTTACAGTTTAATTGAAAGATGCAGTGTTGCCCTGAAAGTAGTCAATTAATCATATCAGAAAGTTATCGGCTTCGAAACTTATTAATAACTAATAACCTTGAAGTCTAATCAAATTTTGCAAGATTTTTTAGAACCTACACACTTAGAAATAACTAATTTTACACGTGACGTTTGATTGAGCTGAATTTTGCGTATATTAAAGGGTGTCCACGATGAAATTGCCACACTATGAAATTGCTCTAACTTTTTAACCGTTGGGTAGAATTTAATGAAAATTTGGGTGGATTTAGTTCATAGTGCATTATTTACATCCTGCAAGTTTTAAAGTCCTGTGATCAAAACTCGCGGAAATGGAGTCGAAAGAACAGCTCGTGCGTGATAAAATCTTGCGCATTCATCACGAGAACAAGGATCTCTCGCATCGTTCCATCGCTAAAACGTTGGGAATCGCGAATTCCACGGTGTCGCGAGTGATTAAGCGGTTCGAGGAACGGTTGACCACCGATCGGAAGCCCAGAAGTGAAGGAAAAAGTATTCCGTACAACACCAAAAATCACAACCGCGTAGTTGGGGCCTTCAACCGAAATCCGAACGCCTCCGTTAGGGATGTGGCTAAGAAGCTGCACCTAAGCCGAAGTTTTGTCCAGAAGGCCAAAACTAAGGCTGGGCTTCGAACGTTCAAGGTACAAAAGGCCCCTAATCGCGACGAGAAGCAGAACAAGTCCGCCAAAACCCGTGCCAGGAAGTTGTACCTCAACATGCTGACGAAAGTTGAATGCTGCATCATGGACGACGAAACATATGTGAAGGCCGACTTCAAACAGATCCCCGGCAACCTGTTTTTCACGGCCAAGGATAAGTTCAGCGTTCCGGAGCATGTCCGCACTCAGAAGATGTCCAAATTTGCGAAGAAATTCCTGGTTTGGCAAGCCATCTGCACGTGCGGGAAGCGGAGTGCACCTTTCGTGACCCAGGACACGATGAACGGACAGGTGTACATAAAAGAGTGCCTCCAGAAGCGGCTGCTTCCTCTCATGAAGGCCCACAACGTCCCAACAATCTTCTGGCCGGATTTGGCCTCATGCCACTACTCCAAGGACGTGCTGAAGTGGTATGCGGACAATAAGGTCAATTTCGTGCCGAAAATGTTCAACCCTCCCAACACTCCGGAGCTCCGCCCCATCGAGAAGTACTGGGCGATTATGAAGCAGCACCTTCTTAAACGACCTAAGGTAGTGAAGACAGTCGAGGAACTGAAGAAAGTATGGGTTTACATGCAAAAAACGGTTGATTCACAGGTTGTGCAGAATCTTATGGCCGGGGTTAAGGCCAAGGTGCGGGCATTTGCGTATGGACTGTAAATAAAATACGAGTAAAATGGTAAAATGAAGTTTAATAGTTATTTCTCAATCCCTGAAAATTTGATGGCAATCGGATGAAAACTCGAATTTTGCGAATCAATTTTGTGTGTGGCAATTTCATCGTGGACACTCAATTTGATGTCAAAATTGACGCTCGTATATGTCAGTTTCCGAGCACCTAAATTTACATGAATTTTTCTAAGCGTGTAGTTGGAACTGCACAGCAAAAAAATAATTTTGATATCACGCCAAAGTGGATGCGATTGATTGTCGAAAATATGGTGTAATATTACTTGCTAAAAAGAACAAAATTATCATTAATACAATGCATGAACTGACATTACGCTGCTTTTACTGCATTTGTTTATTTATGTAGTCATAAAAATTACATGAAATTTTCGACATGATTGTAGTGCATCCACTTTGATGTGATATCAAAATTATTTTTTTGCTGTGTGGGTACTAAGTGAGTGAGTGAAATTGTATTAGATTTTCCAGGAAAAACTGCTTGAAAATGAGGAAAATCGAAGACATTTTTACTCAGTCTAGGAGTATACTGCTGGAGTGAGTGAAATATCACTCAAAATTTCTCAAATTCAAGAAGATTATCCTGGAAAATCGAGGAACATTTGACTCACTCACTGAGTAACCCCAATTTTGAGTCGAATTCGACTAAGTCACCGAGTTACTCTCATTGGCCATGTATGTAATCCTTATAATTTTAATATCTTTTGCCCAAGACAAGCACGATACAACAGGTATAAAATACAGTAATACCTTCATTAATGTGGTTGATGGTACCGTTCACCTACCGCTGTTTCGCGGCTGTCCTTCAACCAATTACGCTTACCAATTTTGTATTTGATTAGTGTCATCCATAAACTAGTTATCTACAGGAAATCAACTCAATTGGTTGAAAGATAGCCGAGAAATAGCGATAAGTGTACATTATGACCCACTGCATAAATTGACGGATTACTGTACAAACATTTAACACACTATGCACCAGACTCTAAACAATGACTCAAAAGTCAACGTGACTGCATGGCATAAAATTCCACTCTTTCGATCAGACTAGACTAGGTCCAACGGAATTTTTCCAAACTTTGGCTAAACAAAAATCAAAATCCCAAAATAATCACTTTCCAAACATGCAACACTAGAGGAAGTGACAATATCTATCTACCTCTTTACGGAAAACCGAATAGTCACCAGCATCAGTCACCAACCACGGTCACCACGCTGCTGCTTGTGTATTGTGTGATAAGAAACAGCTTCCGCAGCGACACATCGAGAGATGTTTCTACCCGTCTTCGATCGGTGTAGACTCTAGGGTATGGAATCTCTCTTGCCTGTTGATTGCACGCACTACTGGTGGATTGTACTTACTCTTCCGATGAAAGCACACACTCTCCCTCTCCGACGGTACCTAGTAGGAAAAAAGGAGATTCCGGAATCCCAATCGATAAGAATACGCGAATCGTTCGGATTTGAGTTCTACTTGAGATGATCGGTCCGGGCCCGGATAGATTCAGTCCGATTCGAGCGTCGGTGCAGAGCGGTGCACAACGAGTCCAGTCGAACGAGCAGGATCAAGTGAAACATTATCCTGCATTTATTAAGTGGTTTGACATTTTTCAGTGTATTGTGTTGGTAGCAATATATATCTTTTAATTTAGAAAGGAAATAGTTTACACCCGGTGACGCTTGAATAGTCGAAATATGCGGAGGGAAATCGACGGAAGAGTGCCCAAAGGTTTCGTGTTTATCGGTACCTACGACCCGGTGATGAGATAGGTCACAGTCCGAGCTGTCAGTATTCGCTTCGCCGAGCTCCGGGAGATACGTGTGTTTGCAAAAAGTTCATTGAATCGAGGTTTTCTGTGTTTCAAAGTGTGCAAAGATATGTAATCAATCTGTGCCAGAGGACCGATTGCCGTTTTGTTACGAGTGTACTCAAGTTATCAAACCACCAGCACCGAAGGTTTTCCAAGGATACTGATTGAATGTTTTAAATCGATGCGTAGTGAGTGAGTGATCGAGATCGTTGTCATCACAAAAGGCATGCCACATGTGTTAGACAAAACAAATTCGTTAGAATAAAAGACTTTCGCATCCGCACCGCAGCTACGTAGTTGAAAAGAGCAATAACCATCGGTGCGAATCCTAGTTTCGTAACCACCGCGCGTTGTGTGATCTCGTAATCGTCCCATACATTGCAAATTAACACAGAGAACGACGACAAGTGGTGCATGAAATTGTGTGTTCTAGACTGCTGCCACTCGTCCTAGATTGGCAGGCCAAATCCTCGGTCGAAGTCGCGTTATCAGCTGCAATTAGTGCCAAGCTTTCTAATTAGTTGCGACGAAAGAGCATCAGGGTGCAATCGGGAGAACAAAAGCGAAGGAGTGGAACGTTGCGCGTGGATTAGCTAGTAGTACCATCAGCATCCCAGCAGCAGCAGCATCAGTAGCAGCACCAACATCTAGACAACCATGGCATTGGACTTTACCAGACGGCAGTGGCTCACACTGGTGATTATGGGACTGGCTGATTTTTGCAATGCAATCTGCGTCAGTTTACAGGCACCATTCTTTCCCAATGAGGTAAGATTGAGAGTTATTATTTTTTTTTTTTTTTTTTAGATAGAGTGAGTAGTCAATAAGCAATGTTTAGACAGGTTCATGTCAAACTTCACCTAACCGGCTACGATCAATCCAATGAACTGCTATTTAAATCTAATACTTTCAATGGTTTTATTTTGGGAAACAGATAGAGCTAGCGTTAATGTACAGATATGCTCCGCTTATTGATGGTAAAGCGAAAATGATCTAAATAAACATTTCAATAAATTTATACTGGGAACACTTATGTCATAATTGGTACATTTCCGATCGATGTTTTCAACCGATGTTTTCAACCAGAGGGCATGACAACAACAATGGTGACGAGCCTGCTACAATAACCCCATGACAAGTCTCAAAAGACCTTAAAATTAACGGAAACCGGGCTTAGTGGTCAACATATGTATCAAAGTGTTTTCATGCAAATCGAATAGCTTGAATTACCTCTTATTTAACCCTTAAAATGGCAAAGATGTCTCATATTTTGTTTAAATGACATCTAAAATAAATTTTCCACTAAAGGACCCATATAAATTTCGATCACTAATTTAGACTGATTTTAACTGACATGTCCTGGTGTGCTTCACAATAAGATGCAATTTTTTTCCTTGGTTTAAATTGTATTTGTCCAATATTTTAGCTTACTTATAAATCGCTCCAATTTTTCTATAATACTGCATTAATCCGTAAGTGGTCACCTAATGGAAGGGTTCCATTAAAGGCAAATTTACCCTACATAATAAGCAACCTCATTGTCATATATTTGTGGGTTATGAATTGAACTGCAGTCTAACCTAAACTGACACATCCTTAGGCACCTCCTGTGATGCTCTTCCTGGACGGCTGCATGTTTTTGCCTTGACCTGGGCCCAATTCAAATTTCTGTCGACTTGCTTGATTTCCTTGTTGAGGCTTCAACGACATGAGTTTCGGGGCCTGCATCTGCTGCCATGTTCTGAAATAGTTCTAGTGTACCAATTTTCATCAATTTTGGTACACTAGAACTATTTGAAATAAGTTGATCGCAGCAGGCCGCGGTTGAAAGCTGACTTGTTTTTCTTTTGCTGCATATTTTTCGTCAGTGAATTAAACATTTGTTGCTTTAAATTTGTAAATTTGTGTGCTGAAATTTAGTTTCAAGTGTTCATAAAGTATCATTTAGTGATATATCGTGTTTTGTCTGTGTTTGCCTTGAGGGACTCGGTTGACCTTGAATCTAACCTTTAAAATATACGACGCAGCTTCAGTTCCATTGTTCGGTGTCGGTTTTCATTGCCTTCCGGGAGCCAGGTTCTCCGGGTTCAGATGCTACACTTTCGGCGTGTAGTTCTATTGAGAGATCGGTCCGGTTGGTGAATTAGTCCGGAAACGTGTTGATAACGTGTCCGTCGCGAGTTTTGGTGGTGATTCGGTAGCCGACGTTGCCGTGAATCAGCAAGTTTTTCACTTACAAAAGTGCTCGGCTGCTGGTCTCTCGTCGGTGTCGGAAATTGCGAGCAATATGAAAGATGCCTCGCTGGATACGCCCAAGACTGGACGGGTTGACAGTTCGTGGCCGCGAACTATTCCTGGGGAAAGCACTAGACGCGAACCTCCTCCCAAATGACCATGGCAATGCAAAAAATTGTGTTCGTTGAAGGAAGTATTACGACAAAGATGCATCACGAAATGAGATGCAAAGCATAGAGAAAATCTAAATTACGGAACCCATGGATTGAAGGATCAAATTAACATGGTGATACCAGTCCAAATACATTTTACAATTAAAAAAAACATAAACTAAATACGTGCCAGGTTTGGTAAGAATATTTTCGAACCTGGAAGCGTGTATGTAATCCCAGTAGCCATTTGATAACGGTGATGCATGCATGCGGGGCTTATTGTAAGTGAAAGTAACCTCGGAATGGGTGTAACTCTCCAGACATTCTGAAATGGGTTGCTAGATCTGCAAAAGAGCTTTCATTTTCTAACTCCCGGACTTCCTCCGGTTTACTAACGTTAGTTTTAAGTAATTTTGTTAAATAAACAATGAATATCGGCTCTGCATAGCTACAGCAAATGAGCCTGGAAAAAGTAAACGCATTATAAAAAAACTACTTTCGGACTAAAGCTGTCTACAATGACCGTAAAGGCGACATTGTAGAGAGAGTTCTTCCATAATAACACTGCCGGACAGTGGGGGTTGGAGGGAATACACACACACACACTCACACACACACACACACACACACACACACACACACACACACACACACACACACACACACACACACACACACACACACACACACACACACACACACACACACATACACATACACACACACACACACACACACACAGCATGACCCATCGACCTGGCCACCTACACCATAGGGCGAGGAAGATGAAGACAACGTTGAACAAGTCTCCAACGAGGAACTCATAGCAGCAGCGAAAAGGTTGAAGGCGAATAAAGCTCCCGGCTCGGATGGAATTCCCAACGTGGCGTTGAAGGCGGTGATCCAGCCGCTCCCGGACATGTTCAGGATGGTGCTGCAGAAATGTCTGGACGAGGGTCAGTTCCCTGACAGGTGGAAGGTACAAAAGCTTGTGCTGTTGCCGAAGCCCGGAAAACCGCCGTAGGATCCTGTATCTTATAGGCCAATATGCTGGCTGGATACTGTCGGAAAGCTCTTGGAGAGGATCATCCTGAACAGGCTGACGAAATGCACGGAGAGTGAACACGGATTGTCGGAGAGGCAGTTCGGATTCCGTAAAGGGAGATCGACGGTGTATGCAATTCGGACAGTGATTGACAGAGCCGACAAAGCTTCCAAACAGAAGCGGAGAGGAAATCGACACTGCGCCGTGATTACGATTGATGTGAAGAATGCATTCAATAGCGCCAACTGGGAGGCCACCGCCAAGGCGCTGCATAGAATGAGGGTTCCAGACTACCTCTGCAGGATTCTAAGTAGTTACTTCCAGAACCGGGTCCTGGTCTACGTGACTGACACGGAGCAGAAATCGCTTAGAATCACGGCGGAAGTTCCACAAGGCTCCATTCTAGGTCCGACGCTGTGGAGCGGAATGTACAATGGCGTGCTGACGCTCAAGCTGCCCAAAGGAGTTGAGATCGTTGGCTTTGCGGACGATGTCGTCTTGACGGTAACCGGTGAGACGTTGGAAGAAGTGGAAATGCTGGCGGCCAAGGCGATAGATACGATTGGTAACTGGACGCAAAAAACGAAGCTGCAGATAGCCCACCACAAAACAGAAGTGATGTTGGTCAGTAACTGCAAAGCAGTGCAGCGGGCAGAAATCACCGTTGGAGAGCACACCATTGTTTCGAAGCGCGTGCTGAAGTATCTGGGAGTGATGATCGACGACCGGCTAAACTTCAACAGCCACATCGAATATGCTTGCGAGAAGGCGGCGAAGGTCATCAACGCAATAGCCAGAATCATGCCGAACAATTCTGGTCCAAGCAGCAGCAAGAGGCGTCTTCTGGCTAGTGTGTCCTCATCGATACTAAGGTACGGAGGTCCAGCCTGGATTGAAGCGCTGAAAACAAAGCAGAACCAAAAGAAATTGAGCAGTACGTTCCGGTTCATGGCCAAGCGAGTCGTGACTGCGTACAGAACCATTTAGATGGAGGCAGTATGCGTTATCGCCGGTATGATCCCAATCGGCATCACCTTGGCGCAGTTCCTGTCTGGTCATGGCTGCTTCAGGAAGTACCTGCATCGGTTCGGACACACAACGTCACCCTTCTGTCTGGAGTGGAAGAATCACCAGAGCACGTAGTATTCGAATGTCCTAAATTTGATGCTGTGCTAGAGGAGATGCTCGCCCTTAGCGCGGCAAATGTCGTCGAAAAAATGTGTCGAGAGGAGGGCACCTTTAAAGCCGTCAGCAAAGCAGTAACGCAGATCATGTCAGCGCTGCAGCGAAAATGGCGAGAAGACCAGCTAGTAGTGATGTGCTCACACAAGTGCGAAGTGAAAGCCAAAGCCGGGGTTAACCGAGTAGAACGTGACACTGGAAGTTAAATGGCTCTCAAATTGGAGAGACGATCAGCGAAGTGGAAGCGCCAATTAGCTGAGGTAAAGTGAGGTGCGTAATGCACAGCCCCCTCCGAAGTAATACGACAAGTGGTTCCGGGGGAAAAGGGCAAGGCGTCTAAGGAGGTTTTAGTGCGGTAAGAATCCCACACACCGTGTCACCGCGACTGTGCGCCCGGTCGTCAAGCGGTGGCATGATGGCCTTTTGAAGGTTTCCTCCTTGCAAAAAAAAACACACACACACACTAGAACTATTTGAAATAAGTTCGATTACATTAGCAAAAATCTCCATCTTAGCACCCCTCGGTGGGAGTTTGTATGGGAGCGAGCTGTCAATGTGTTAGTTTAGAGTTAAACAGTGAAGTTATTATTTTGATTTAAATTTTGATTTAAAAATCAAGATGGAAATCTATGAGGTCAAAGCCCTTTCAGATTGTAACCGATATATTTTTTTCAGAATTAAAGTACCCAATTGATGAGTTATATATTTTTTAAGTAATCAAGTTTTGAATATTCGCTCAAAACTCCTACGCCCCCGGTTCATGAGTTGATGGGTCGAAAGGTAGGGTCCATGTGAAGGAGCTGCCTCCCTGGCGTCGGTAGCATTGGTGCTCAGCACGGAGAACAAGATCGACGGAAAAAAAATCAAGAAAAAAAACCAAGACTGCGACCCACTTTGGGACATCACATATGATCGCGACCCACCAATATTGAACACAGATATTGTATAGCCAAAATGGCCTTAAAACTCAAAACTGGATTTTATCAAGTCATTTATTTGGAAGGCCCACGGGGCCGTAGGGGTGGACCGATTACTCGCGGTTGACTCGAAGTTAGGAGGGTAACATTTTTTTAGGGAAGGATCAGGGACAAAACTTACTTCAAAACACCAAAGAAAACTTCACGATGACCTGATACCCAAAATAAGAACGGAAT